CCAGCCTGGGGGGGGATGGGGATGGGGGAGCCTTGCCTGGGAATGGGGGTGGCCTGTCCAGCCTGGGGGGGGATGGGGATGGGGGAGCCTTGCCTGGGAATGGGGGTGGCCTGGCCAGCCTGGCGGGGGATGGGAATGGGGGTGGCCTGGCCAGCCTGGGGGGAGCCCTGCCTGGGAATAGGGGTGGGAATGGGGGTGGCCTGGCCAGCCTGGAGGGGAATGGGGGAGCCCTGCCTGGGAATGGGGGTGGCCTAGCCACCCGGGGGGGGGGTAGCCTGGCCAGCCGGGGGGGTTAGGGGGATGACAGTGACTTACCTGAGATTGGCCCAACATGGAGCGGATGCTGGGTGGAGAGTGACACTGGACGTGGGGGCACGCGGCGATGCAGCATGACGAGCTCTTGGGGGGTGTCTGTTCGGCGCCTGGCACAACGCGTCCCTGATCCCCGAAGGGCGCTGCTAGGTCCTGCTGTAACACAGCTGATAGCAAATGGCAACGATCATGGTGTAAATAGTAAACTGCCGTGCTAAGGCATCCTCCCGCTAAACCACCGCCCCCTGGCACCAAACTGTCGCTGTAACCACATCCACGGATAACAATCAATTACAAATAATTAGGTTCCTAAACATCAAGCTCTGCCTGTGCCTTAGGCCAGTGGTTCTCAACCCACAGCCCGCTTGCGGCCCAATCAGCACACAACTGCAGCCCAGGTGACGTCCTCCAGGCCAGACAGGTAGTATATCTATTGCTTGGATGCAGCCCCCATAACACAGAGAGAGCTGCATGTGCAGCCCACAGTGGTAAATAGGCTGAGAACCACTGCCTTAGGCCCTGAGCTTGCAATGAATACGGATGCTCAGCAGGGCCTGCCTATACAGAGCTCATTGCAGGATCAGGTCTTTCTTGCATATCGATGTGATCTTTCTGTTGTGACCCTTGTCCTTCCTGGCCTGCCCTTGTCCATGGTGTTGCCGACTTAGGTCCTGCTGCAAAAGAGAACTGGGCAGGTGGACCCCTGCATGCCCACAGAACCCCATTGGCTCCAGTGGGGCTCCACGCAGGCACAGGGATCAGCCCATGCAGTTCTCCTTGCAGGATGGTGCTGGATTGCATTTAGGTTGTGCACTCTCCAGAACAGGAGGCACGTCTTTGCTCGCTTTGGGAGCTGCCTAGCGCTTCTCCAGGTGCTTGACATATAATTAAAAAAAAAATTAGTCATTGTAATGATGCCTTTTAAAAGCCATCGCTTGTTTTCTCTCGCAACAATGCCCTGATGTGAGCCTTCAGCAACTGAGATGTCATCTCAAATATTCTTAAAGCTGGGGGGGGCTAGACTGTCACTCTAGATTTCAGGATATTTGCAGCCAGAAAGCTTCGCTTTCTTCAAAACCATCTGGAATCTCAAAGAAAAGAAGATCAGGCTGGTGGGAGGGGGGGCTGAGCGGGGGGAACTTTCCCTCCATATTTTCAGACATGAAAGTTGCTGTTTTTAAAAAAAGCTTTTCCTTAAATGGACGATGTGGCCATTAGTTGCCTGAAGTGGCCCCGGTTTCCATTTTTCTTGTCATATTTGCACCCAGGGCTGGCTCCAGCATTTCTGCCGCCCCAAGCAAAAAAAAAAAAAAAAGCTGTGATCGCGATCGGCGGCAATTGGGAAAAAAAAGAAAAAGCCGCGATTGGCGGCGGCAGTTCAGCGGCAGGTCCTTCACTCCTAAAGGGAATGAGGGACCTGCCGCCCCCGAATTGCCGCAGGTGCTGCCCCTCTCCCTTGGCCGCCCCAAGCACCTGCTTGTTAAGCTGGTGCCTGGAGCCGGCCCTGTTTGCACCATGGCTGGTGAAGTATGATGGGGAGGAAGGGGGAGGGGTTCAGGAAAGACCCGCTTCAGTGGGGCACCAGGGCTGCAGGCCTGCAAGCTGGAGGTCAGGAGGCTGCCAGACAAGCACAGACCGCTCATCTTGCTAACGCCGGCCACTACGCAAGCTCAATACAGACCTCTTTCCTACAACTCTGCCTGCCAGTTCTCTTCAATGCTCGTGAAAGAGTTTGCAGGCTTTCCCCCCCTATGAAGTTACGAAGAACATGGTCAGGGATGAACCTTTGGGTGTGCGTCTGGAGTTAGATTATTAGGTAACGCCGCTCTGGCTTGTTTGTCCATTGTACTGAGAGGGGAAAGCTCTACACAACCTGTCCTCTGCAACTCTAGATGGTGCTATCCTGCTGGCTCGGCTCTCAGGTGCCCTGTCTTGCTTTCTCGGATTTCCCCTTCCTTGGTTGTGATGTGAGTCAGTTAAGCCTGAAGATTTAGGAAGAGGAGAAAGCAGACAGACAGCTGTCCTGAGCAGGTAGGTAGAGACCCCTCTCACCAGAGATTTGCTGTGCCATCTGGGTGGGGGAAGATACACGATTCACAGACGCTTAAAGCCTCCAGCCCAGAGCCAGCTGCCTCTGTGAGTCCAGTGCAGCCAGAGGCCAGCTGGGCTTGTTATCATGCCAAGGCTGCAGTGAGGATCAGGGCCCGGGCAGCCTAAATCCTGTGATACTTCGCGCCCCAGCCTTGCGGCGATTCCAGCCCCCTGAGTCTGTGCCCACTTTCACATCTGCTCTTCAGCTTCGCTAGGATTTTAGGTGGTTGGTTCGTCCCCGGGCCGAAATCTCCCGAAGGCGTGTGCGTTTGTGTAGAACGGGGGGCTCCAGCACAGATCACAGGCTGGGGAGAAGGGGGCTGGGGAGAGGGAAAAGACGTAGTGGATCACGGAGTGCCTTGTTCTAGCTGCTTTCCTGGCCCCTGGCCTGGTCGTATGTGAGCCAAAAAAACATTGAAGGAGGAAGGGGAGAATGGCCCAACTTTGGTAGATGGGGAACCATCGGGTAGAGAGGTGAAGAGACTCACCCAAGGTCACCCAGGGAGTCTGTGGCAGAGCTGGGAACGGACCCGCAATCTCCTGAGCCTTAGTCCAGTGGCAGACCTGCACTGGTGTCTTTCCTTCTGCCCCCTTTGGGCTCGAATTTCTCCCAACGCCCTTGTCTGGTGGTGAAAACCATTTTACCGCCCCCCCGGCCACACATACCACGCAACTCACCCTGAAATGCAGCTTCCTCTGGGGAGGAGGGCGGCAACCCTGCAGCACAACTGTGGGTGGAGGAGGGAGTTTGGGCCAGGGGCCCCAGGAAAGTCCTGCCTCTTACCAGAAGTGCCCCAAGGAATTGTTAATTGCTCCTGCAGATGGGAGCTCAGCTTTTGAGGTCTTGACCAAATATCGCCTGGGAGGGATGAGGGGACCTTCAAGGACTGACCGTGCTGGGATGCAAAGCTGCGGTTCGGACCCCTCGTTATTCCTTCCAGCCTAATGTAACTTGCCCTGAGGTTTCCCCCCTAGCATCAGCGCTGGGCAGTGACCCAAGCACCTAGCCAAGGGGCTGGTGTCCCAGCCACCGTCTGTGAAGGGGGCCCATTAGTGTCACTTCAGGGCCCCCGCTGGCCCAAGGAGTAAGGGACAAGGCTCAATGCAGTGGGGTGGCTGAGATGACTTCTGGCGTTCCCTTCCAGCCCTAGGTTTCCAGGGTTTTCTCTCCCCTGGGGCAGTGCAGAGCACTGAGCACCGGGGAGACCGGGCAGGGCCCAGGAAACCTTGCCAAGCTCCAGCCCACGTGGCATTGCCCAGTTGCCTCGACTTTGAGAAGACGTATTCCTCCAGCTCCAACGTCTCGCTCTTCCGTCCCCAGGAAAGAGACCCCAGATGGGGAAGAGCTGCAAGGTGGTGGTTTGCGGCCAAGCCTCAGTCGGAAAAACATCAATCTTGGAGCAGCTCCTCTATGGGAACCATGTGGTTGGTAAGTGTGGGGGTCGGGCGGGTGACCAGCAAGGGCGCGTCCTGCAGCCCCCATCATTCTTCACGGGCTTAATGCCAAACGGCTCTGTTGTGGCTTTTCGTAAAGACCAGCCCCCTGACCATAACAAATCAGTGCCTAGCCCAGCTGTTGACGAGAGACCCTACAATAATAAATTAGCACCAACCTCCCAGCATTCCAGAACAAACTCTAGTGGAACTGCCCAGCCCCTTGCAATTAAAATAGACGTGTGTAATAGACGTGATGGAGGCAGACAGGGTCGTGCAGTGACACGCAGGTTTGGATGCTAGTGTCCCAGGTGGGGAGAGTACAGAGAAAAAAACCTGGGGATGCTGCCTCCAGCGGCTCCCTTCTACAGGCAGTTTGCCCCAGCAGTGCCGCTCTAAACACAGCTGCGGGAGACCTGAACGAACAAGGAGCAGAGTACGAGACAGGCCTAGGCAAGGAGCTGCTATTATGTGGTAGTACCTAGGGGCCCCAGGCAAGCTCGGGGCACCCTTGTGCCAGGCTCTGCCCCAAAGAGCTCCCAGTCTGAACAGACCAGACAAAGGCTGGGAGGGGAAACTGAGGCACAGGGCGGGGTGGGACTTGCCCACGGTCACACCGCAGGTCAGTGGCAGCGCCCGCAATAGAACGCAGGCCTCCCGACTCCCAGCCCAGTGGACACTGTGAGGAGGCTCCTGCGTCACGGCAGAGCGCAGCCCAGCTCGCCACGTTACCCCACGCCCGCCTGCTTCCCCGCAGGTTCCGAAATGATAGAGACCCAGGAGGACATCTACGTGGGCTCGATCGAGACGGACCGCGGGGTGCGGGAGCAGGTGCGATTCTACGACACCCGGGGCCTGCGGGAGGGCGTGGAGCTCCCCAAGCACTGCTTCTCCGGCACGGACGGCTACGTGCTGGTGTACAGCACCGCCAGCAAGGACTCTTTGAAGAGGGTGGAGCTGCTCAAGAAGGAAATCGACAAGTGCAAGGATAAGAAGGAGGTGAGGCATTGCCACAGGCGCAGAGGAGGTTTTCCACAGGTACCGGAGCGCGGGGCGGGCTGGGAACGGGGGACGGAGCCTCCTCCCCTACAGCTCCCTAGTCCTGCCCAGCCGGGAGTGCGCTTCCTTCTGGTGGCTTGTCCATGTCCCATAGGAAGTGAGTCGGGGGACCCCCTCCCCCCCACCAGCTGCCCTCTTTCTCGGATACTCAGCACAGGGGCCGTGAGCAAACAGGCCATAAAGACTGAGCTGGGGGTGGTATTCCAGGGAGGGATGGAGCCAGTGTGCGTGTGGGGTGGCGGCCTCAGGGGAGGTGTTGCATTCTGCTCCTTGGATTTCCCCTTCTCAGCAGCGGCCGTTGGTCTCCAGCGCTGTCAGTCCAGCACCACGTTCAAGGTCGCTCTGCTTTTTCTCCTCTCCTTGCCCTTCCCTTCCCCTCCCCCAGGATTTTTAAATCAGCCAGCAAGGGGCTGAGTTTGCAAGTGCTTGGCCGGTGCTTGCGCTCAGACCCCGATGTTTGTCGCTCCGCAAACCGGGGTTAGAAAGCCGGTGGGCTCAGGGACGGACTGCTCCTTGCCACCTGCAGCCTTGCACGACCAGCCAGGCCTGCTTGAACAGAAGGGAGGAGACGCTGGCCGTCCGGTGGGGCTCTAGTGTCGGCTGGGGGTGACAGCGGAGGGGGGACACATGGGAGGGATCAGTGACCTGATCCCGTTTGGGAAATCCCAACTCCCCTTATCTCCTCCTCGGAAAGACCCAGGTAGCCTCTGCCCGAGCTCCGGCCACAGGGAACTGGGCAGGACCCTCTGGGGCCCATCAGCTCTGCTGCTCAGCTGGCCGCCTGGGCGGGGCGAAGGCTGGTCCAGGAGCTCGAGCACAGCAGGGAATCTGGACGGAAGGCGCCAAAGGGGAAGAGACATCATCGGAGAGCCCGCCGTGCTGGGGGTGAAATTCGCAGGAGCCTTGTCCCGGGGCCTGGCCCAGGCTGCAGGGCCAGGCAGCCGGCCCTGAGCGTACTCCGTTTGCGTGTATTCGTGCAGGTCACCATTGTGGTTCTGGGCAACAAGAGCGACCTGCAGGAGCAGCGGCGCGTGGACCACGACGCGGCCCAGCACTGGGCCAAGGGCGAGAAGGTGAAGCTGTGGGAGGTGTCCGTGGCCGACCGCCGGACGCTGATCGAGCCTTTCACCTACCTGGCCAGCAAGATGACGCAGCCACAGAGCAAGTCCGGCTTCCCGCTGAGCCGCAAGAACAAGGGCAGCGGCTCCATGGACGGCTGAAGGCCTGGCCTCCCCTCCCCCGCCACCTCGCTCCCATGGCACATCCACCCTCTCTGAGCTCTGGGGCGTTGGCACGAAGCCTGCTGATGGGAGGGAGCTCCTGGAGTGGGTGGGGGGCTCGGCCCCTGGCCACACTAGGCAGCATGGCGAGGACCTGGTGCCAGGGATGGTCACTGGGGGCAGTGAAGACGCCTGGCCCATCCCTGCTGCCTGGAGGGGGAAGGCGGCCTTGGACGGCTGGTCTGAACTCAGGATTCGCCCAGACCGTGCCCCGGGAGCCCTGGCCTGGTCTCTGCTCCCAAACCACAGGCTAGACAAAACTCTTGGCAAACACACTCCTTGTCTTGGCAGGGGCCTGCGAAGGCCTCACCGGCCCAACCTCCATTTGGCCCATTGTAACCCTTGCCCTGACCCTGGAGGGGAGCGTTCTCTCCACCCCAAGATTATGACACTACCTAGCACCTTCCTCCCCTCTCCACCTGGGCCGCAGAATGCCCCAGCCTGTCTCCCCGCAGTTCCTCCCTGTAGGCCGGCGCTGGAAGGTGGGCTCTGAGTTCGTCCTCCAGGCCTCTCTGCCCACCGACAGGCACCTGCAAATCGCCCTCTCTCTGCAGCTGGGGAGGCGGATGGTGCTGCACCCACCTCCCCGGGGGCTGCGTAACTGCCTCCCTGAAGAGCGTGAGGAGCAAGGACTGCCCTGGGTCCCTGCCGCCCCTTCACTGTCCCCTGCCGCCCCCCAGCTCTTTAACTGCCTGAGCAGCAGGGAAATGCACCTGGCCCCTCTGCAGCTGCGGAATCGGGGCGCTCGGGTGAGGCCAGGCTGCGCAGAGCTCGGGTTTAGGTTCATTAAGCTCATTAGAGCCTCATCAGTGTCCAGCATGTCAGAGATGCCTGCAGGGCAGCCCTGATCCGCTGCCTCTTCCCATGCTGTGATCCCAGGCCGAAGGCCAGGCCAAGCCATGGTGTCGGGGTGGCGCCCCTGCCCCTGATCCCGCTACGGGAGAGCCGAAGACCCCAGCATGTGGAGCTCACTGCAGAAGCCTGGGTGGGGGCCAGCCGTTTGCATCGCTCGTTAGGCAGGTGCCGCTCAGCTCAGCCTCATTGCTGACGAGCAGCTGGCCCCGGGGGGACACGTTTCCGACCTGCAGCTCTGGGGGAAGGGGTCGGGCTGCAGACGTGGCCTCAGCAGGCTGTTAAAATTGTCAGTTGGCCAAGAACCAAGGGTTAGTTTTAGATGGTCCCTGAGTTTCTCCTTGGCCAGGAATTTGGGACAGGCGCGAATGTGCTTTGGCTGCTGGGGGGGGGGGGGGAGGAGGATGACTAGGGTCCCCTGGATTAGCCCACCCAGCAGCAGGGCACATGCCAGTGTTGGGAAGTGAGGCTGGTGGGTTTTTTTTAATGATTGCATGTATGTAATCTCATGTCAGAGGCGTGTAGAGCCGCTTCCTCCTGGTCAGCAATCGCCGTCAATAAACTCAGCTGCTTTTGGAGCGGGTGTGCTTCCCGGGCACACGGCGGGCTGGTGGCGTGGCACACGGCGGGCTGGTGGCGTGGCACTCGGCGGGCTGGTGGCGTGGCACTCGGCGGGCTGGTGGCGTGGCACTAGACTGGGCCTAGCTCCGGCCGCCTGCGGCTGAGTAGCTCCTGCACCGTTACCAAGAACGTTTCGTTACTGGTCCAGCCTTCCATGGAAAACCCCAGGAAAAGCCTGGGCCGTCCTGAGCCAGCCCACCCTTTGGCTGGGGACGGGGCTGGTTTTCCCCAGCCGCTGGCTGCAGGCTGAACGGTCCCTTAGCGATCCGTCGTGGGGGATGCATTCCTATTTCCACCTCTGCTTCCCGGGGCTCCCGCCTCGCGGGCCCAGAGAAAGATGGCGCGAAAGTCCAGGCGCATTTATACAGGTTCCTTTTATTTACTGAGTAACACAAGAAAGCAATGAGATTCGATTATCAAAATATTTTCCTTTCCCCCCCTCCGACGGTTATAGTACATCAAAAAATATACACTGAACAGTACAGGGGGCGGTGGGGGGGGGGGGGTACTGGCCAAGTCCCTAGAGGCTGGTTATTTCGTTTGCTTTTTAGTTGTCAAAATCAACCATTGTTCACATCACGCCGAGGGTATTTATAGAGGGGCACATGTCAGCGCCGGGGCCTACGACCTACCACAGCCTATGCGAAGTCAGAGGCGGTAACTGCTTTGGCTAGCGCGGGGGGGCCGGAGGCGAAGGAGACAGCAGGGTGCTTGGACGCCGCCCGGTGCAGGATGGCGTGACGGGAAGGAATGGCTTTCAAGTGTCCTAGTCTATCGGGACCCCACCGCTGGGCTGAGGGTAGGTTTGACTCTGGCTCTGGGGGGCTTCGTGACCCAGCTCAACCTGCAGTGCGACCGGAGTCTCTTGGGGCGGAGGGGGGGAACCATGGCTAAAGCTTTGTGCTTCCTGAATTCCTAAAACTACCACGGCACAAGCCCCTGGGAGGACGGAGCTGGAGCAGGATGGGGGGGACAGGGAGCGAACCCAACCAGAGGCAGACGGAGGAGAGGCTGCTGCGGGGCTGGACGGCTAAGCCCCAGGCTACCCGGGGGCTGATGGCATTAGGGACTGACTGGCATTGCACAGAGGTGTCCGGATCCCCCCCTTGCCCCATCTAAAGCTTTGTGAGGGGACGGTTTGCCCAGTGGCAGCTCCCACTACCAGCCCCTGCCCCCCCCCGATGGGACTTACGAAAGGAGCTCCTGTGATTTGGGGCGTGGGGGGGTCTATCCCCCACACTCCGTTCCCTTGTGGACGCCTAGCGGAGGATTTGCCCACCCTGAGGCCGTAAGGGATGGAGCTGGTCCCTTCCAGCTGGCTGGCGGTGGGGTTATTGCAAAGCTCCGTAAACCCAAATCTTGGACAAAAAAGAACTCCCAAGGTTTCACCTTCAGGTGCCCAGAAAAACTGGCATCAAAATGTCGCCCCTCCCCCCGTGCTCAGGCCCAGGCCTGACTCTTTGGTTTACCCCCAGGCAGGCCTGCACCAGCTCCATGCACTCCTAAGGGGGGAGGGGGAGAACAGTCTCCCTGGCATATCCCACGTGCTGAGAGCTTCCATGTCCCCCCGCAGCGCGCTCCTGTAATACGCTGGCCGAGCAGAGGGGGCTGTGCTATAGGGGATAACAACCCACTACTACTGCCAGCTCGAGTGGTAGGGAGTGCTGGCCTCAGTCACCCATTGGTGACCACGCAAAGGGGGAGGGGGTTGTGGGACAGCACTATCAGGCCTTGCGCTGGGCTCCAGCTGAGCGGAGAGCTATAACCGTCCCGTCTCTGTGGATCGGGGACATGTAACACACAGCCCCCAGGGACTGCCCCTGAGCGCTGGGGAAGTGACAATCTCGCAGCCCCCCGGTGTTTGGAAACCGTGTTCAGCCTCCAGTGGTTGTGGGGGCGGCAGGATCCTCCCTGTGCTGCCCAAACGCCTCCTGAAACACAGCTGGTGTGTTCAAGTGAAGACACCTGACAGGTGTGCTTGTGCGTGGGGATTGCTAGCTGTCCAGCTCGGAGGGCAGCCTCCGCTGGGGGCTCAGAGCCTGTGCCGTGGGGAGCAGCGGAGAGCTCACAGGACCAGGGGGCTCTCGGAAGCGTGTGCACGATGCACCGAGGTGCATGGTTCAGTTTCTGCTCCGAACAACGTTCCTCGCTGGACAGACAGAGCGGACACCGCCGCAGGAGGCAGCCAGGTTACCACGACGACGGGGCTCCTCCGTTCGGATTTGCATAGATTGGGACGGGTTGTCACTCCGGCACAAGGTCCATGTGGGTCGCAACCTTCCTGCATATTTCTATGTACAGTGCGCGCTGGGGAGCCCGTAGCGCCTCGGTAACTGTTCGGACCAGGTCATCGCGCCGGCTTTTAACACAGTGAAAAACAAAACCATTGCCCCATAATGCCTAGCGCGGGCCCTGGAGCCCCACGGTCTGCAAGCTGCACTCAGAGCACGGGAGGGACAACGCCACGTGCTTGTTAAACGAACCTGCTCTTTTATTCTGGGCTGTCGAGCTGAACTAACAGGGAATCCCCCCAGTTTCCTTGGAAGCTCCAAGTTTCAACGGGGCTGGGTGACTGGGTTTTGTCTGCTGGCCTGTTAACAGGAGGAATGCTTTGCAGCTCTCCAAGGAAAGGCGCTACGCAAGGACAAAGTGCTTTATGAATCTTCACTCAGCCTCCCTGCGAGGTAGGGTCAGAGCTATCCCCTGCTTAATGGGGGGAAACTGAGGCACTAAGAGGTGAAGCACCGTGGTGCAAGGGAGTGAATGGCAGAGTTGGGAATAGACGCCAAGGAGAAGGGCTGTTCTCTAGCCAGTCGACTCCAAGCCTTAGCTGAACTGGGAATGGAACCCAGGTGTCCTGACTCCCTACGTCCTATTCTCCTGCCATAGGCTCACACCCTGTCCCAGGTCTGGGGGGAGAATCCTGTTGTCTAACCACTAGACCCATGGTTTTCAACCTGTGGTCCACGGCCCCCTGGGGATCCTCAGACTATATCTGATTTCCAAAGGGGCCCGCCAATGAAGAAAGGTTGAAAACCACTGCTCTAGACAACACACTGATCTCAGTTGCCTGGTCCTCCGCTGCACTTCCAGTGTTGGACGATAATGTGCTTTCTGAAGTGAGCAGGAAAGAGGTCTCTGCTGGCAAGGAGCCTCGGGGTTCGCTGTTTGTTCTATGGGAAGACGCTGCCCCCGTTTGCCGGTGTCTCCTCTGGATTTCCTGCTGCTGAAAGGGCCCAGACTAGAGGAGCTGGAGAGTAACGCTCTCCCTGCATCCTCAGCTCCAGGATGGGTCAGGCAGTCGGCAGGGCAATCTTCCACCACGCTGCTCTCTGCCCACGTGCCTCACGTCCCATGCAGGGCTTAGGCTACGGCTGGGAAACCGGGGGGTGGATTTTGTGCTAGGGAGGTTTTTCCCACTGAAAACTGGCCTGAGATCCACCACGGACTCCTTCCAGCAGGACCTATGATCTGGGGGTCGCCACGAACCTGGGCTGGCTCTGAACCAGCCAGCCTGAGAAAAAGGCCTTTCCTTTCCAGCGAGTCAGCCAGGCCCCTTCCCTGGTTTGGTTTAAATTAATCACTGGGAAGGGGATGAATGAAAAACTCACTAGCCAAAGAGGGGCACCCGCTGGCCACAGGTATCAATGGGCCTGGGGGATCCCAACACTGTCCCTTTGACTGAATCCACTCAAAGTGGACACGGAGCTGTGTTTTCGGAGAGCGACTGAGTGAGTGGGCGGCAGAACCGACGGGCACTGGGTGTGGGTAACGGGGGGTACAGCCAGGCCTTGCAGAGCAGTCAGCTGGGGAATCTCCTAGCCCAGTGGGAGGAAAAGAAAAAACCTCGGTCAACGGTTACAAAGGATCGTTTGCCCCATGGGAACAGAGCCCTGTCCTGCTGCACAGCTCGCCGGCTCTTCGCCGCGTCCGGGAGAGACGGAGCCTTGGCGGGCACGGGCTCTAGTAGGGCGCGAAGACGATGGGGCCAGGCGTGGCGCGGACGTGGCCGGGCGGGGTTCGGAAGAGCGCTGGTCCAAGGAGCGGGGCCTGGAAGAGGGCTGTGGCGGTGGCTGGTCTGAGGGTGAGTGGGCCAGGCATGGCGCACATGGCTGCCGTGGTGAGGGGGCTCGGGAGGAAGCGGGTAGCCAAGGTTTTGGTGAGGTGCTTCTGCAAAGCCAGCTTGGACTGTAGAGGGAGAGAGAGAGAGAGACAAAGCACATGAACCACCAGGCTGCAGGAGAGATCCTGGCACTGCTGGCTCTGCGGGGAGTGGAGCAGCCAGCCCTGGGCTCAGGGTTAGTCTGGTAACAGGCATGTGGGCGCGGAGCCTGGGATCAATAGAGTCACCCAGTTTCTATTTCATAGGAACTGCCCTAGGGGATCAGACCAAGGACCCTTCTAGTCCAGAACTTGCAGCTTCAGAGGAATCCAGATAGGCTCCTGACCTCAATGATATCATGTGGACATGAGTTCCACAGGCCAGTCATTTGTTGTATGTCGGAGGGGGGCATATTACCAGGTCTCAGTTTTGAATCTTCTGGCTTTCAATGGAGATATACCTATCTCATAGAGCTGGAAGGGACCCCGAAAGGTCGAGTCCAGCCCCCCACTAGCAGGACCAAGTATTGATTTTGCCCCAGATCCCTAAGTGGCCCCCTCAAGGATTGAACTAACAACCCTGGGTTTAGCAGGCCAATGCTCAAACCACTGAGCGATCCCTCCCCCGTACTGAGCTATCCCTCACCTGCAGCGAGGTTGACAGTTGCTAGCCAGAGGCCTTTCTCACAGATCTATTTTAGCTTCCCTTTGCAGTTCATGGCAAGGACCCTTGGGTGGGTCTGTCGGCCTGGGCTATACAGGAGGTCAGACTATTACACAAGCCTAATTGTTCCCTCTGGCCTTAAAGCCCTATCAGTCTAGGTAGCTCTTTCCTTTAACACTGAGCTGGGAATCC